AATAAGAAAATCGAATAAAATAATACAGAAAGAAAAGAGATTTTTAATTAAATACCGTAAACAATGATTTTTTAATTTTCATATTAAGGATACTGATATCGTAAGCCAGCTCCTAACCAGCTTCTAGCTCCTCGAGTAGCTGGGAAACAAAAATCGCCTTAATGTACAATTTACTTACACTTATGCACACTCTTATAAAATAGTAATGTGACTGCGTACGAATTTAAGCAAAGATACTTTACATGGATTAAAGGGTATCCCGCCTCATCATCCTTATATCGATATGTCATTAGGAATTTATTATGCCGATTGTTTATATTATTATCCCGCCTTACCATCCCTATATCCATATGTTATACATATGCATTCATCGAACGATAAGGACTATATTCATTTTGTCGAAACGTTAGCAACGCTTAGAAGTGCCCTTGTCGCTACGGAGCCTAATGCGTTTCCTATTGCTTAAATTTGCACGCTCTAACTCAATTGCATTAATTTAATCGGGATTAATTGCATTAGTTTTTAACACAGAAATTTTGAATTAATCGTTTGCCAAGTTGAAATAGTTCACGATGTATACATCGTATAATCCCACGGAACTCAAAGCATTCCATTATGTGGCGTCAATACGAGCCTTGCCATCAATTATGTCGCTTAAGCTATCTACGACGCACATTACTGCTTATTCTTCTTCACATCTTCGGGCTTCCTATGAATTTCCTTAAAAATGACCCTAATATGTTTTGTCGCATTAGCGACTCTAGCCTTCCGCAAATGGTGTCAAAACGGTTTTTTGATCAATGAGCAACATAGCATAGCGTAATGCTTGGAATAAACAACGAACGTATCGTGATGAAATTTATATAAATAAGACCATAACCTAACAAATTATTTGAATTAACAAAAATATAAATATAGTATGGAGTACTATTCCTTTTAAATGGAGCATGACTAACTGACTTTGTACAACATCGTCGCCGCAATTATCACAAATATTTTAAAAGCTTTGCGAAACGTTATCGCCTTAGTTGAAGTGAATTATTGTCCAATGTAATGATCAGGTTTTTGACTCATATTCAGAAAGCAATTATTTTCTATCGAATTAAGAAGTGATGGCGGATTTTTTACTTTAATTATTCGCGGAGTTGCATCTTTCAAGCGCTTAATAGTATGGTATCATAAGGTTAGTAAGTAAGTGATGGAAAAGTGTCACGAACTTTTTCCTTGCAAAATATCTATGCTTTCATTTGATGGAAAAAAAAAAGAAATCGTACCAAGCGGTGAATTCATCTACTTTAAGCTTCAGGTCATTTATAGCAGAGATTCTTAACTTAGCTCTACTACGGCTTACCAAGGAAAGAATTTGTAAACAAAATTGTGGACACAAACGAATCCGTGCACTCTTTTCAATATATAAGCGAGCTTCTGGCGACATAGAAATATGCTTGATAGCAACCCACGATTGAGCGGATGGCAACTTTTGTAATAAAGTTTTTTGAGATATTAAAGCGTTGAAGTAATTCTTGCCTTTGAAAGGAGCGATTTTGTTAATGCAAATGAAAGGTGAAGAAATCGGCGATTAATGTGTCGAGCGTATTCTATCTGCCACCGATTCGGTTTATATACTTATAACGTAGCACCTATTGCGGACACTAGCTGACAAAAGTTCGGTTTTAAATAATAAATTCATTTTTGAAAGACGAGAATAAACCAAATTTGTTATGTCATTTGCAACATTTAGAAATCTTATTGAATAAGTGCGAAGCGGCTTAGGGCCGCATTAAAAAAAAAAAAAAATAGCAAAAGGAACGAATCTCCGTATACGAAGAAAGTCTCAAAGTTTCCAATACATGATCGCGTTATTGGTACTAGCAGTCCAATCATTTAGAAAGGACATGGAGGAAAAAATAAGCAAAGCTAACATCTAAACTTAAAAAATAAATAAAACGTTCGAACGTTAGATTGAAAAGTGAAATATTCCTCACTATCTGTGCGCTACGTTTTCAAATTAGCCCTTTTCCACGAAAGCTGCAGCGATTCGAAGTCCAGCTACATTTTGGGATAACTGCAAATGCAATCATTTTAACTGCATTAAGCAGAGGTTAAAAATTTCTTAGACCTTTTTTCATTTAATAAAAAGAAAAAGAAAAAAAAAAAAAAAAATATTGTGAGTATAACGACTACACAATAAATCGCTCTACAATGGTCTATATACCGACTTTTCAAGATAAGGCATTCTACGGTAAGTGGCCGGAAAAGTAGTCAGACCTGAGCCAATTTCAATAACAGTCGTCTTTGGGCCAAAAGATGTCCGTGTAGTAAATTTTATCAAAATATCTCCAAAAATTGTGGCCAAACACGGGCAGGTAAGTTTAAATCAATTCAGAAAATGCCATCGAATCGATCGGTATAATAAAAGTCAATTCGTTTTGGGTTTTGCATACATCCGAGCAAACGTGATATGCCCTTGCACCATGTCGCGCCATTGTCGCGTCGCGTATACAAGTTAGATATGATATAAGGCAACATATGAATTTTAAAATGCTTAAGATAAAGTTAAAATAAAGTGAAAAAATATATTTATTATTGCAAATTAATAATGATTTGATAATGTTCAGCTCATGCAAGTGGTAAATGGTAAATAATTTATAGAGAATTTGTTGCGTTGCACGATTTTTATGTCGCTCTTTGGTGCTAACTCGGATATGCGTATATATGCGTATAATGTAGGAAATGTTATTCAAATATATATATATATATATATATATATTTATGTAGATCACAAACATCTGTAAAAAGTGGAAGTAAATAATGAAAACAAAAGGGATTTCAAACAAGAGATATACAATCTCAATTAAATATCGACAGCCAGCAAAACAGGATGTGACAGACGCGTGCTGAAGAATAACAACAAGTAAACCAAAAGCATACGTACTAAGACTACTACCATATAGTATAGTAAGGAAGAAGTAAGGAACTATAATAAGGAAGACAATCATGTTTATCTTGTGGCGAATATTGTATACCCACCATTTCAAGAAAATGTCTAAGAAAACCGCAAGACTTTTTCTTTATAGCCGATGTGTCGGCGCATTGATGGGCCCGAAGAGAATTACTTTTACGTTGAGCTTTTATGTGCTATCGATATTTGCTGAACGTATTAAGTTACTGAGAAATTGAAAATTTCATCTTTTCATAACTCGCTTACTCCGCTTATCGTCAGAGTTAATCCACGCGCATAGCATAAAGCAAGAATGCAAAACTTCACATGATTTAAGCGCATTTTGAATTCATCTCACATTGATGATCACAAATATATATATTTGTTTTATTTACTTTTACTACAATTGTTTAATGCACGTAACAAATAATTTATATTAAATATGGGATCGCTGGGTCCGCGTTGCAAGCGAAACAACAAAACTAGTATACTTAGATATTCTTTGGCGATTGATATAAAAATTAATTACGATTGAATGCGTTACGTTAATATCATGGCAAGAAGAGATCGCACTACGAGTACGTTCCGTTGGGGAAACTTTTCTCAAAAAAATCGCAATAAATCGATTCAATTATTATAAGAGAGAATTGAGCTTATTTTACTCGAAGAATGAAAGTTGCTCAGGAAAGGAAACTAATTTAGGAGTCGCTATGTTTTAAAGAACAACCTAAACGATTGCAATATGAAAGGATGGAACGTCTTTTGATGAATTTGTTATACGCGTAAATTAATAGCGAAATTATGTAGTCAAAGCTTGCAGCTGCTCTATCTCTCTTTTTTCTCTTGAAGCATTTAAGCAAACCATCAAACGATTGAGGAACGATCAACAGGGGATGATTGCTAGCTAAAGTGAACACTTTACAAAGGGTGCATAATATTAAACAGCTGTCTTTAATTCAAAGGGGCGAAGAGATGACGGGCAATCTTAGTTCGTAGTGCAGTCAGGGTTCATTGGAAAGTTTATAAGTGCAAGTAAATATATATGTGTTGTACGAGAATGATAATGGCGGGGGTTGTCTTTGAATAAACTCAACAAAACTCTGACAATCAGTCAAGTTTCCGATACGTTCTTAGTTACAACGTAACGCGCACGATTAACAGCGAAGCAAGTGTGAGAAAAACAAAAAAAAAAAACAAAAAAAAAAAGATACAACATATATTATAAAAGATGTCTAACAGCAGATTATTATTGAAACGCAAATTAAGCACTGTATCATTGGATCATTCAAGTGATAGCGAAGATGTACCATCATCGAAGGCGAAGAAAAATGAAAATGATGATGAAAAACAATCGGTTGATGAACAACAGCTCTATCACTGCGATACACCACCTCCAGAGCCAGTGGATTATAGAACATTACCGTTAGACTCGGATCGTCACTTATTGGATATCATTCGGGCAAAAATATCCGAATTACAACATGAATTAAATGATTGCGAGAGCGATTTTGACGATCAAAGCGTCGCGTATGATAATCCACGATCTGTCGATTCCCAGGGACCAATTGAATTAAGTGAACAGGACGCTGAAGCATTAGGTTTTGCTACATGCGCTCAGGAGACGTTTTTGTTTTTACAACGGGAGGGCATCTCCACCGATAGCCCACTCTTTACACGGTTACGCGATGTTTTAGTCGGTCATACCGAAAATGATCAATCCGATGATCTATTAAATTGAACAAAACAAACTTAAGCACAATGTTCTAGTCTAGTCAACTATTTCCGAAAACTAAACATTATTGGAATGAGAACAATCTCTAGTCATAGTTCTAAGTTTCTATTTTTTAAACCACAAAGCATGAGCTAATAATTTAATAAGAATTTGCTTTATATTAAATTTTAAAATATAAATCTATCTTTGTATTCACAACAATTTGGGCCAATATTTAATTACAACAATTGCAAACGGAGCTAGAAATCCCGCGCATCTGATCTTAACGCAAATTTAAATCGAATAAGTTCAACAATAAGTCCGTAAAGTAAAAATCACTCGAATAAAATAAAATGAAATAGGTTTCGATCAATTAAGTGTTAGCAACTAATATGGACGATAAAGCAATTCTTCATTTCGTTACTTAAGCTTATCTGACTTATTATTCACCTCCTGAAACAGAATAAATGCTGAATAAGGTATAAATAATATTTTATTTAAAAGAATGACAAGCAAAAGTTTCTTACAGAATAAGTTTGAAAGAACGTCTATGAAGGTGGCTTTGAACTTATTTGAATACAGATTTCTTCGTCGTTATGGTTACGAAATTCGTGAGAAGAGTTTTCCCCGGCGAAATGCATTAATTGAACATTATTTAGCCTTCAATAAAGCATGAATGCAGGGATCGTCAGCCACGTCAAGACACGTCTGACCAGCTGAGTCTTGAGCCATTATATTTGCCCCATATTTTAATAGCAAGTTTACGCATTCCAAATGACCACAAGAAACGGCATAATGTAAAGCTGTTTGTTGCTCAGCATCTCGCAATTCGACTTGGCAGCCCGCCTTCAAAAGGTATTCTAACATTTGTACGTCATTGCTGTCGGTTGCCCAATGTATAAGAGCTAGGCCATTTTCATCGATTACTTCTAAATCGGAAGGCTTCAATATATGTTCTACTTGTTTTAAATTATGCTCCCGAACATAGTCAAACACAGTCTTCTCATTTTCATGTTTTTGATACTCATTATCCGGAGGCATCTCTATTGAATGTACAACCCATCCTGTGTTCGATTTTTTATCATCACGTTTTACCAATTCCCACCATGCAGGTTGAAGTTTTTGCACTTTTTCCACATACAATCGTTTAGCTATCGTACTTGACATCTGCCCCAAATCATTCCAGGCCGACCATTTGGCACGTCCTTGAATATTAAATAAGCCGGGCTTTGGAATATTACATTGACCGGTAGTTGCTTGTTTATACAGGCCATAGAGTTCTAATAAATCATTTGGCATTAAAGTATCATGCGTTTGCTCCACGTGCTTGGCTGCTAATGTAAAGAGCTCATCGTGCTCATCGGTATCATCAAAATCCAAATCACTATCATTTTGAATTGCCATACTTTGCTTGTGTTCCTTTAATATATAACTTATAAACTACGAGTAGATTATTATTATTATTATTTTTTTTTTTTGCTGTCTAAATTTTAAGTTTTTTGAATGTTCAAGTAATTGCCCTCAAGTATATGTTTTGGTTCGTTTTCGATTTTTTCGAGGGGAGCTAGATTGTTAAATGTGACAAATCCGTAACCACGTGAGAAGCCGGTTTTCTTATTGAAGATAACGTTAGCGGTAATTACTCGGCCAAACTCTTTAAAATAGCTTTTTAACTCCTGATGACCTACGGTCCACGGTAGATTACCAACAAAGAGCTTGCAAATATTTTTGCTAACCTTAGTTGTTGTGGCCATTGATATGTGCTTTAATAATATTAACGCAATAATCTTTTGCACGAACTTCGCTTCAAATATCTACTTATTACGTAAATATTAGCGAAATGCAGAAGTATACTATCTGGTCGACTTTTTTTTCTTTATAAGTCATTCTAATTGTCATCTATAAGTTGACAAATGTCAAAATATGCAAAGGTGGCCATCTTTACAAATTGATTTAAAATTTATACGCAATGCTGCTAAGTAATAAAACCATTAACATTGCTTTCTTGAAAATTAACATTTATTTCGTATATGGCTTAAAAAAAATTGGCTAAAAATGGTCGTGTAATGCGAAAATTATAATTACATAAAAGATAAATTCCATTTTTACGTGAAACTGTATTAACAAATTAGTTTAACGCAGAGATGTAATAAGTGCATGTTTTTATAGAACTCAGAAAAAAAATTAAAAACTGGCTGTAATTGTAAAGAAACTGTAGTGTAGTCACATTTCTGAAAGTTAGGTTTCGTTCGCGATCAAGTCGATAGTTGATAAATATTTTTGTTGTGATCACGTAAGATTTTCGTTTCATATATGTTGCTATCATACGTGTGTAAATGAAAAGCAAAAGAAAGAATCAAAGTCACGCAAATGTTGGTAGCGAAATGTCTTGTCTGATATATATATATATATATATATAATGATTTTGCCAAATAGAACTTAATTATTTTCTTGCATATATGTTGCTAGCGAAATGTTCCATCTTCTATATATAATGTTTTTGCATTGTTAGAAGCTAAAATATAATTTGTTTTAAAGGTTTGATTTTTCACTTATCTTTTTCTTTTTCCTTGCATGAATTTTATTATTCATACACCGATGCCATCAGGAATAATGAATATGCTGAATATGAAGTCAAATGTCATCGTTTTGACAAAACGGTAGCATTGCAATTGTTTTTCGATATGTGAGTGCGCTCGGCAGCATTAGCAAGAATTCCATCGGTAAACTTCCTTTGGAGAACTCGGTTAATTATTTTATTTTTCATATTAAGAAAATTATATGTTTTGCAAAAGTGAAGCCAAGTCAAAAATGTAAATTCTATCAAATTCTTTATTTAGGCACTGACAATATGTCTTTTAGTTATAGTTTAGTTATATTTTAACTTTTAGATAACTAGCTATGTTAATGGATTAACCTATGATTTTACGATACAATTAAATTTAAAAGTGCAGAAGAAATGTCCATTCTTATTTCCTTACTTATTCGCCTTCAATGTTTCTTTAACTCACTCTAGGCCTCTAGTCCTTGAAACAAGTTGCTTTGATTCAGGAAATCGAAAGTTTACTGCCGTAATTTTTATGTGGTCGCAAACCTTACGAATGAGATGTGTAGACACAAAAACATTTAGACTATGCTTGCCTTTTCTATCTGTCTATGAAACATTCTTCATTTTGTGCGAGCCTACGAAAGTAAATTTGTTTTCCATCCACCCCTTCAATCACTTCAATAAATACTACGAATATTTCAAACATCGTTTGTTATACAACAACGTGTTACAAAAGCATGAAAAGTACACCAAGAAGTTACTCGCGACCAGTTTTTCATAAAAAGCATTCAAAAGCTTCTTTAGACACGCGAAACTTTCGCACAAATCTATACGTAACGATATGTACATTTTAATTTACACTGGTGACAAAAATATAAAAGCACTTACTTACACTTTACTGAGTCTCGCAATGCTCTTCTACGTCTTATAAGATTCCTTTTCCCTCCATTTTGAACCCACGACCATTGGGTTGTTAGTCGAGACTATTGCCAACTCGACCCCTCAGACGGATCGAAGCATAATTTTAATTCTACAGCAACTGTATAAACAAGTAAGAACATTACATTGGGGCAACGCAGACGATTACGTATCCTACACCATTTCGCCTAGAGGAGTTATTCATCCGTTTTGGTAGTAACGCATCGAAAACTACACATTTTTTAATGCAAAAGCATACTTTGCATGAAAGCCCGCATATTGGCGAATGACCAAAACGTCACATGATGCGGTCCAAATTTAGCAAACTTAATTTACTTTTTAAAAATGTTATTATTTTTCTCTTTCCGTCATAAAAGACATGAAATAAGACTTTCTTTCCATAGAAGGGCCTGCCTTTCATGATAACTTCTTATCTAACTTATATGTTAGGCTTTAAAAATAGACGACTATCCGATCCAAATTCGCTACCACAATTTTTTTTGCTAAATTGCTATCATGGATCATTTTTCATCATAAAATATTAAAAATTAAATCTCTCTCTGAAGGGATTACTATTTATGAGAAATTCTATATTGCGTGGGACCCAAGAAATAGACCCGTGTGGTGCAAATTTGGTCCAGTTCATTTTTATGTCAAATTACTGTCATGAACAAAGTTTCGTCATTAGACAATAACAAATATGTCTTTTTGCCATATTATGGTCTACATTTTTTGAGAATTCATATAAAGGCTGATATCCAGAAAATAATCTGCGTAGTCCAAATTCGATAAAATTGATTTCTTTGTCAATTTACTACTATGAAGCAACTTTCGCTATGAAATATTCATTATGTAAAGATTCAGTTTTCGTAGGAACAGCTATATGCGAGGGGGCTCAAAAAATTGCCTTAGCCGAACTAAATTTCCAATACAAATGAATTAGAAATGTTACGCAGCGTATTTTGTCGAGAAATTTTGAAATTTTCAATTTTCATTTTTCACATAACGACTTTTCAAAATACTGCGTTATACAGCGGGTGGTCGAAAAAAAAGGGACAGATCCGAATCATTTTCAATAGGGTTCGTCCCTGAAATGAAGCACGTCATTGTACCAAATTTCATCAAAATATCTCAAAAATTCTGACATGTAGAAATATTAAACGGAGAGACAGATAGTCCGACTGACAGGCTTAGATCGATTCAGGAAATGATTCAGAAAATGATTCTGATTTAATGTACTCTTTATATTAAGTGTTGTAGGAAATAGCCAATGAAGAATTGAATTGAGGACTGTGGGGACGGGTATTTGATGATCGGTCTAAAATGACTATAGTGTTCTCACTTATATTCAAGATTAGGTTATTTATGCAATTGCGTCAGAAATCGATGAATCGACAACGAAACGTCTCGGCTCATTTGTTGTTTTAGTATCCTTTCCTAGTATCTAATACTCATTATAAAGCACATCCTCTGTGACTGCCTTAACTTTCCCTTGGCTAGAAGTAACGCATTCGGAGCGATTAATCCTATGGACATTCTTATGGACTAATAATATGCTTTCATAAATATATATGTATTGAAAATAAAGGAAATAATTTACTTACATTACGTCTGGTTACTTTCCAATTAATTGACGGTTAATGTTACCTTAGGTATTAAACCTATCCTAGATAATCAATCTTAAAATTATAATAACCCATGCAATACAACCCGGGAATGATAGTAAGAGAAAAACTCCTGATTTTGAGTGCACTTGCAGCGAGCAATTAATTATCATTCGAAGTGAATTCATTGAATCATTGATTACGTGAATCCTAAGTTGGATATGCTTGGATAGTTTACAAATATTTCACAAAACACTTTGTAACGTGTGCGAATTCGACTTTTAAACACGAAACGTTTTTAAAAAAGCATGCGCCTGCGTATATTACGCTAAGCGAAAAGCATCGGAGCACTCGTTCATCAATTAAATGTTAATTTGGATATTGAAAAATGTGTCTGGCTTGGTGAAGAATTTGTATTCCAAACTTGTTGTGCTCATGAAAATAGAAGCGAATAATCTCAATAGAATAAACAGAGAGAGAGAGAGAGAGAGAGAGAGAAGAAGAGCAAAAGTTGACAACCGTTTTGTGCTCACAATTATTTTGTCTCATATTTTTAAAGAAAAAAAAAAGGAACAACTTTGATAGTATATTAGCTTTTAAACGTTGACAGATATCAGGAAAAATTATTATTCGAATTTTTTTTCTTTATGACGTTAGTTTTGAGAGTTTTGTGAAAACCATTGAATATACATCTAAATAAAAATGAAGGCATTTAAGCTATTGCTAAAAAAAAATTTCATCAGCGACGTTCGTTCATGGATTTGGTTATTATTTGAAATTCTTGTATTTATGCTATGTTTGCTTTACTCTGTTATAAATCCTCTTCAAGAGGTGCGACGTCATGAGATGGATTCTAAACTAGTGCCAGACGACAAGAATAAGATACACATGTATAAAGGTCTCGTACCTTTGGACGATTTAAATTATACTCGGTAAGTAAGATTTCTATAGATTATAAAAAAGAGATAAGAGTAAATTAAGCAAATTTTCTTCCAAATTCCGTATTTTTAGGGGATTGATAAAGGGCAATATGCCAGACACTTTATTTTATACACCTGAAAATGCTTTCACCAAGAAGCTTCTTAACGCAGTAATTAAAATTTTAGGCTTGAAATCTATTAAAGGATTTAAAGATGAAATGAATCTTCAAAGCAATTTTGATGATAAGAAAGCTTTCGCTGGTATTGTATTTTACAATACCAGTGATGATATACCGCAGCGTTTATCAATGAGTATACGCTTTCCGAGCGAACTTCGAACGGTTCATAGCGACGCGCCAATTTATCAAAACTATTGGGTAACCCGTTGTACTGGATTTTTAACTGACGAAGAAACGAAAGGAAAAGGATTAAAACACGTGTCCCTATATCAACGTGAAGGCTTTTTACAATTACAACAATGCTTATTTCTCCAGTGGCTAAGATTGCGTGATATTGATTCAGAAAAAAAAATTAAAATTGTCTATGGCTCCTTACTATATCCAAGCGATATTTATTATTGCGAATTTTCAGACACTCCAAATTTTAGATGGTTCTGCTATTATATGACATTTGTAATTACATACCTGAGTCTAGTTTGTGTAAGTATCATACTTTTTAGTAACTATGATTTAAATATTTTTTTAACACTAGATAAGATTGCTGAAGTTCAAAAATTATGTCATATATGTATATATATATATATATGTAGATAAGATGTAGTCAATTTTTTAATATAACAGACAGAGGGACAAATACTTCGGGAGGCTATCTTTGACGTGTAAATAAACAGCACAAAAAATCAATAGCATTAGGTTCGCGTTGCACTAGAATGCAAATGAATACGTATTAGAAGACATCAGGAAGCATTGTTTGCGTGAATCGGAATCGGAATCGGAATTTTAAAGAGTTGATCGGGTTGATTGGATTAATTACAAAGTTGATCGTCTATTGAAAAAAGTAATTTTTAAAGCATACTTTCAAACAGTTTCGAATAATTATATCTTAGCTATGTATTGGTTTTATATATATATATATGTGTGTTTGTAAATTTTTGTTATAAAATATCTTATATAATTAATTATATATATATATATATATATATATATATATATATATGTATATGTATATATTGTGTGCAGAAATACTCGAAAGAAGTACAGGAAAATATATTTTCCTATCATTGGACGTATAAAGTGCAAAACGGTCATCATTGGTGGGCTCATTTCATAGTCTCCTTTGTACATGTAATGATTTTAGTTATTATTGTGACGATTTCTTTTGCCGTAAGTTTGCTCTTTATATTCTAATTATTTTTCAAAATTCATATTTTTTTTTTTTTTTTGATTTATTTTTTCTTAGATAAAATGGGCCGTAGAACCAGAATTCAAATTTGGTTACGTTCCCCCTTTGTTATTTTTTGTATTTATGGTACTTTACGGTATCGCATTAATATTAACCGCAATGATAACGACTGCCATATTTCGGAATGCGAAAACCGCAATAGTTTTCTCGGTCACCATTTGGATAGGGACGTATGCTTTACTTGCGATAGCCATTGATGTGGAATCTCGTCCGACCATAGGGGTTTTAATTTGTTTTGCGGTCTTTTTCAATAATATGTATCCATATACCGTTGACTTTTTGAGCGGTTATAAAACGGTTGAATTTCATGATCTACTGATTATAATGTTATTTCCAATAGGATACATTATTGTGTTATTGTTGTTATTATCGCTCTTTGATTATATTTTGCTTCACCAGGACAGGGATAAGACTGGTTTTAGCATAATTGGCATACCGTATTTATGCCGTAAAAAATCGAAGAGAGCAAGAAAACCTGATCCAATAAATCCAAGGGCCTATCCATTAAATCGCCAAAATTCAAGCTGGTTAAATTATGAATTTGGAGCGTATAATTTATCGATAATGTTATCGTTGAAGAATGTGTTCACGTTTTTCGATGATCATAAAGTTTACCCTCATCTGAAAGACGTTACAATGCGTATATTTAAAAATGAGATATCGATAATATTGGGCTCGAATAACACCGGGAAGACAACATTGCTAAAAGTGTTAGCCGGCTGGATTAAATATTCTGGGTCCATTTACTTTGATGGCGCTCATGAAGTTTGTGAAAATCTTGATTATTATCAACAATATGTAGATATATGCATGTCGCATTGTCCTCTTTTCGATATGTTAACCGTAAAGGAAACACTCAGCTATTTTGCATTGATTAAGCAAAAGGTGCCCAATTTGGAGCAAACGAATCTCGAAGTTTACAAATGGCTTGATAGATTGAAACCGGCCGCAATTAAAGAGCATTGGTATGTTAAGCGTTTAAGTTATGCAAATAAGCGATTGCTGGCACTTTGCTGCGCCTTATGCAATAACACAACAATAGTTTTGCTCGATGAGCCTACGGTGAATATGCGATCATTTGAGCAATCACTTTATTGGCATATTTTGCAAAAAGAGAAACCGGACCGAGCGATTATTGTTACAACCGATTCTGTTGATGAGGCCGAACATTTGGGCGATCGTATCGGTGTTTTAAGTGACGGCTATCTCATGGCCTGGGGTACGCCCATATTTCTTAAAAGTCATTTTGCCAAAGATTATTCATTGGTATGCGAAATTAAAATTTAATAACAACAGTTGGTAACAGTACGAATTCATGCGTTAATTTATATTGTCTACAATTGCAGGTACTTTTAAGGGACACAAGTAAACCGCTTAGGCCCATTTTAGATTTATTGCGTACATATATTAGTAATATAGTGATTACAAATCAAATTGGCGACAAAGTGGTCTTCAAGATGCCTGCCGAGAAAAGACCGGAATATCAAAAAATGCTAATCGCCTTGGAAGATAATGCGTCCGAATATGGTATACGAAATATAACTGTCGTTTCTGGTGAAATGGGTGACGTATTTATGAATCTTAGTTTAGAATCTGAACTGCAGCAAAATTTACCCGATCTGAGTAAGTAAATGCAACGAGTCAGTCAGTCAGTCAGCCAGTCAGCTTAGTTCGAGTTTAAATTATATTTGCATTTTTTTCGTTTTTTTTTTTTTTTTAACAATAAGGGCGCATATTACATCGCAACGAACCGGTCTCGCAAAATAGTAAAAATCAAGTGAAAGCAATGTTATATAAAAAATGGATTAGTACGGCGCCGAATATTATGCCGATAATAATAATATTTGTAGCCATCGTTGTGATTCTCTTGATAAATGAATTAACTAAATCAGTTCAACCTATTAGTAACATAGAGAGAGGAGGCATGATGGGTTTTCGCTTATATGAACCAACTAGAAAAATAGTGGATAACATAAGTACCGATTGCGAACACGTTGAAATCAGAGATTTACAACAAGGATCGATGACATCGAAATTTAGTATAACGCATCATTCCTACATATTTAAAACATTTCGATGTGCCAAAGAACGCTTTCACGATATCATGGAGTACAGCTCTTATAAATTCAATCAAAAAGGTGCCGTTCAAATAATCGGTAATGAGTTTACAGTTTGGGCATCACAGAATATTTTTCATACAGCGCCAGTAACTTTAAATTTAGCTCAGAATATGATGTTGAGGTAAATGATCTAAGCTCATATATTTGCATAAATCTATATACCGATATCAAAACATGCGTAAACATTTATTTATTATACATACATACATACAATATATATATATATATATATATCGATAGGTATGTATATTTTCAAAAAAAAAAAAAAAAAAAAAAAACGGTAACAACAAAACATCGTACAGAACGAATATGATTCCGAACGAAGAAAATTTTTATGTACGACTATGGTGATGTGATGCTTACTACCTTTTATCAATGTAAGGTAACAGTAAGTAAGGGAATTAATTCGCTTCAACCTCTTCAATCAGACTCCTAATTTGCTAATGCGCGTGCGCTCTTGACTAAATAAAAGTCATTGCTGAATTGTGATGATATTTTTTAAAGAAGAGATCAATCTTCCTATCATAGATATATACGCTATTAATAGCTAATCTTCTAATAAGAGAGGGTTTCGACAAGAATTTCGATTTAAATGGACGAACGTTTTGATACAAATACTTCGAGAGTTCGATTTGCTCTGTGAAATTTGAAAACGACATGATTGTCGGTTAAGACTTGGACGAGACACGATTCAATACTTAATCATGCGCTTTGTTCCTGCTCTGACTTAAGCAACCTATCGAAGTTATTGTAAAAGTAAAAGCATTTTCGTTTTCGATTCCTTTTCGTAGGAAGTTGTATCCGGATAAACCGGAAATTATAACAACAATTATTAATAATCCTATACCGATGTCAATGAGTGCCAAATTTAGCGTTATGGAAAGTCAAATTGTTAGTCTACGCATTCCGCTAACACTTGGAATAATAATGCCGCTGAGCGTCTCGTCGTTTATCTTTTGTTTGGCAGAAGAATTAAATAACGGATTTTTCACTTTACAAAAAATGGCTGGACTGCGATTAATAACTTTTTGGATAATAAATTTCGCTTGGGATTTCGTTACATTGCTCATATACTGTATCCTTTATTTTATAGTAATGATATTTAGCACTATAGAGGGTTTTCCCTTATCGGGAAAATTGGGTAAGTGTCGCCGATTTGGGCATCATCATCATCATCATCATATTTTCAATTGTGTAAGCTTGTATTAATTAAAAAAAGACAATTTTAACTATTTTTCACTTTTAAGCGACATTTTTATTAATGTGCCTTCACAATGCACCCGCTTTATTTACCGTTTATTTAACGGCCTTATTCGTTGGCGGTAATAAGACAAGATCGTTCCTGATCGCGACAATTGTACAATTGGTGGCAGGTGAGCGAGGCGGCTGCTGGCTAGGCTTATATGAATGCATTGGGAAAAATAATTTCTTTTTTATTTGCCGTTTCAGGATTATTGTCTTTTGTCGTCTATTGGGATGTTACATGTCATAATAGCGTAATTCTATACCTTAGCATGATATTCCCAACATTTGCTCTTCTGCAAGGCGCCAGCAATATATATATGCTATCGAAAGAACGTCAATATTGTACTCGCCGATGTGAGGGTATTACCAATTGCACTTCCGTAAATATGTGTGAGCTGATGCAAAATTGTTGTTGTAAGTTATTTCCATTTAACCCGTTCAATTTAGGGAAAGAGAGAGAGAGAGAG